AGTGGGAAAAGTTCTGGTTCTAGAGTCAAAGGACTTGGGTTCAAATCAAATGTCTATCTGTGTTAACTTGGGCAAGTCACTTAACTTTCCCGGGCCTGTTTCCTGATTTGTAAAATGAGGAAGTTGCACTAGAGAGCCTCTAAGGTCTCTCCTTTGAAGGGCAACTAGGTGGTATGGTGAATAGAGTGCTGAGTTTGGAGTCAGAACTAAGTAAAAATCTGGCCTAAGATATGTATAAGATATAGCACCCTGGGCAAGTCATTTAACCTCTTTTTGCTTCACTTTCCTCAACTGTAAAATGATGAAAATAACAGCACCTACCTCTCATTGTTGTTTTGAGGATCAGCATTTGTAAAGTGCTTAGCAAAGTGCTTGGCACATAGAAAGTGCGTAACAAATATTTGTGTCCTTCATGCCTTCTCTAAAGATCCCTATGCTTAGGATTATCACAACTAATATGGTAAAATATAATTATCTAATATAAATTCATTATCTTTAGGATCACAGGCAAGAAGTGATATAAAAGATATGATGTAGGAAATTGTTGATTGGAAAAGCAGGTAAGCCTCGTGGTAAGAACAATACAAAAAAGACATAGCTTTCATGCCTTGATAGTATCCATTCAATGTTAAAAGACTGAGAGGAAGGCCTCCAGCCCATTAAGCAGATGCTCTTCGGTGGCTCTATGGAAGGACATATATAAGGATCCCATGGGATGAAAAGGTATAATTGGATTGTGATCTATACCAGCAGAGGAAGTAGCTCCATTAATGAGATCACGTATCCACTGAAGTTTGGTTTTGGAAACCACTGTCTTTGAACTGCAGAGACATTCCTGGTGACACCTATTATTGGTATAATTTTTGGCTCTAGCAACTGTCCTAAGAAAAAAAATAAACTCTTCAAACTTATCATTTTAATAAGATTATTAAAATGAGATAGGACAGAGCTTTGATTTTTAGCTTCTTGTAATTTCTTTATTATCAGAAATGAAATGCCATGGTTTGTTGACTGAGGAGTTCAAGATAGCACATTTCAATGTAGCACTGAGGTGTTTGGATAAGCACAATGTCTGAACAACAAATACTAGAAAAGCATGTGCTATTTGTTTGATCTATTACAAACTATATGCTTTCATCAGGCTTCAGGGGGTATTTACAAAATAATTTTTTAAGTCAAGAAATTCATTAAAAATGTTTAAAACATAAGTAGCTTCAGATGAAGCATTTTAATTATCCAATAGAATTTGCCAGCCTGAAGCACAATAAGCTGTATTGTACATTCTATGGGGTTCTATAAATACATCTTTACAAAATCCTATTCCCTTAGACCAACACCTTACACCATATTCCACAATACATTCTACATGGATATGTGACCTTAATATTAGAGCTCATACTATAAAAATATTAGAAGAGAAAGAGATGGTATATCTCTCACAGATATAGGTAGGAGACATATTCTTAACTAAACAAGAGATAGAGGCAATTATGAAAGATAAAACAGGTAACTTTACTTGAAACTGAAAAGCTTCTACATGGACAACATTAATATATCTAGGATAAAAAGGGAAGAGATCAGATGGGAAAAAAATCTTTATGAAATTTCTTTGATAAGGAGTTCAATATCCAAGATACATAAACAATAAATAAACAAAAATGCATACACAATGTGTATACGTGTGTGTGTGTGTGTGTGTGTGTGTGTGTATCTCAAACTAACAGCCATTCCCCAATAGATAAATGGTCAAAAGATGTGAACAAACTGTTCTTAAAAGAAGACCTGCAAAGTATTCACAACCACATGAAAAAATGTTCCAAATCACTAATAACAGGGAAAAGTAAATTGAAACAGCCCTGAAGTTTCACCCCACACCTTGCAAATTGGCAAAAATTACAAAAATGGCAAGTCATTGTTGGAGGAATTGTAGAAGGTTAGGCATACTAATACATTGTTGATGAAGCTGTGAAATAGTACAACCTTTTTGGAAAGCAATTTGGAATTATGCAAATAAAGTGACTAAAATGTTCATACCTTTTGAACCAGAGACTCCATTACTGGGATTATACACAAGGAAGCTATCAATAAGAAAAAAGTTCTCATATTCTCCAAAATATTTATAGTAGCACTTTTTGTGATAACTAAGAACTGGAAACAAAGTAGATGCCCATCAACTGGGAAATGACTAAACAAATTGTGATACATGAATGTAATAGAATATTACTGTGCTGTAAGAAATGGTTTTCAAGACAAATACAGAAAAACATACAAAGACCTACATAAACTGACTCAGAACAAAGTAAACAGTCAAGAAAACAATACACACAGTAATTACAAACATGTAAATGGAAGATCAAAAGTAAATATAACAAAATTATAAAGATCAAACAGGATTCAAATGTAAAGAGATGAGAGAATGCCCCCCCCCAGCCAATCCCTTCACAGAAGTAGGAGGTTCACAAGGGTTATACATTGCACATGTTTTCAGACATTTTTGGTGTATCGATCAGTTGTGCTGACTTTTTTTCTTCTCTAAAACTATTCATCAATGAGATGGCTTTTTGTGAGGGATACTTGACACAATGACAGTGATGTAACAAACAAAATATCAATAAAATTTATTTAAAATACTTATTATTACTATGTCACAGATATCTGTCAGAATTCTCCCTCATTCTCAGGCTGAGAATGGTACGAACTTTCTTTTTCTGGGTCACCAATTAAAATATAATTCATTCAGAGGCTAGGTCACTCTTTTTCTCAGTATGAGGAATTAAATTCCTTGAGCTTCAGCACAAGAAGCTGAAATCAATAGCAAATTGGCTATTCCTCTTTGGGTTTGAAAACAAGGAGACAGAATGTTTTAAGGCCAAAGATTGCTACTGGTCAAGCTTTTAAATAAGTACTTGTGAGATCTGGATTCTTGATTTTTCAGTTCAGCCTCTCTTTTGGGGGTGGCATACAGAAACCTCTCCATTTCTCAGTGTCTTAGTTTTTTGCATCTGTAAAAGGGAGCAAATATATACAAGGATGTGACAACACTATTATGTAAACAGAGGCACAATGCCCACGAAAAACAGCAAATACTGAATTGAACTCAGCTACCAAATATAATCATGGTAGAAAAACACAGTTCTTATTTTGGTAACTTACTGTGTCCAGAGAGGCTGATGCTCTTAAGTCAGGCAAAAATCCAACCTCCAGAAGATGAAGGAGGAAAGTTTGGTCCTCAATACCATACACACGGTCCAAGAACAGTACCATGGGTGCTTTGTGGTCAGGACAAAAGTTGGCAGCCATGTCTGGCTCATTCACTGACCCATCTGAGAAACAAGGAGAGAAATTTCATTGGCCCTTTAAAAATATCACAGTTATGGATGGCAGAAGTCAAAGCTGGCTTCTGGCTTTTTACCCTTCTAAATAAAGTAACTGGAGGATTTTAAAATGATATTGCTAAATCTTTCTTGCCAAAAAGTCAGGCTTTATAACAAGGTCTCTAATTAACCCTCATAATGTGATTGGAACAGAAGGTAAAGGGTTTGTCCAGGATTAGTGAAGAATCAAGAGGAAGAAACTATGATTTTAAAATCACTACTGTTTAGTAGATTGTAACACTGTTAGTGGAACTGCCCAATGTCACACAGCAAAGTCCAGGTCTATTGATTTCCTGGCCAGGTTCCATTTGATTCTGGCAGCCTCTCCTTAAGAAAATTCATTATTTGGCGTTTGCTGCTAAAACACCTGCTGTTTGAGTCCTACAGAAGATATTACCTAATTTGTGAGAAAGAACTCAAGTATTGATCACAGAGGTGAATGCTGGATCAAAATTTTTCATATATTATTGATTTGGTGTGTGGTTCCCTAAAGCCATATATCATGATGCTGAGAACTATGTACATAGAGGGAGAAGTAGCTTCTGATTGGCTGAGAGACACCTCTGAGTTCTGAGAGAGAACTTGAGAAAAATAATTAGGAGAAGCAAACATAAACTTTTGAAAGATGAATGAAAGCCACCCCTCCAATGTGCCCTCGATTCCTAGCACCTACAAATCTTGACTACTAAGAGATAGTCTTCTACCCACCTCCATATCATTCTCTCTTTTGTTGGCTGAGCTGAGATTTGGTCTCATCTATGAATAGATATTCTATCATGTGTCTATATGTATAAAATCTCTAATTTTTGTTTATTATTAACTTTGATGGGATTTACTAGCTTTCTGTGATTGTCTTTTATACAACCAGCATTTGAGAAGATGAGAGGGAATTAAGCTATCAAGAATAAGCTCGGTGTTGCTCTCCCCTTAAGAGTGATTAGGGATGGTAGTTTTTATTCTTTCTTTTATTTATTAATTTATTTTGCTCCTTTTTAAAATTATTTTTATATCATTAGATTACAGGTATTTGATATAAATAGACAGATATATTCCTAGCCTGATAGCTCTCTTGGAGATAGGTAAATGGAGAGTGAGCACCTAACCACTGTCTTCCTCTTGTTCCCCAAAAAGGTGGTAATTATAGCTTCCCTTGGTGATAGGGTGGACCAGATTCTTGTAGCTATCCTTGCTACATGTGAACCAGTATTATATTTATATTAGACAGGTAGACAACATATAATCTACACATAAAATGAATACAAAGTAATTTATAGGGTAGGAAGAAAGCCCTAACCATTGGGAAGATAAGGAAAATCCTCTAGCACAGAGGGGGTCAAAACCACACTGCTGAAGCATTGGGTTAAGCCCTAAACAGATTAAAGTATAACTGCGAAATGTTTAACAAAATAAATAAAAATAAAATAGAAGATAGATAATGTTAATATGTGATTTTCAAAGTCAACATGCAGCTAGTACGGCTTAGTGGCCCTCGTTTCTATTTGAGTTTGACATCATTGCTCTAGAAGGAGTTAACATGTGAGCTAAGCCTTGAAAAATGCTACCCAAATTGTAAACATAATGTCTGAGAAGGGCCAAGGAACTTTGAGGGAAGATGTATCGAAAATTAAACCATAAAAGCCAAATGAGGCATTATGCGTGAGGACACAACCTATTTTTGTATGATTTTTGACAGGGAAGGACATGGGACTATAGCACAGGCAAGAAGGGAGAGCTGACAGCTGATCTGTCTATATGCTGTCTGCCCTGAGATGTTTGCAGCTTATTTCCTAGAACACACATAGGCACTGGGAATGACCCTAGGGGACATTTTCTATCTCTCTTAACCCAGGAGTCTTATTAAAAATAGCCTGATATTCAGTGGGCAACGTCACCTTTATCCTAATGAAAGAGCTAGTAGCTGTTGATTTGGGGGGAAATTAGGGAAACGGAGATGTCATAAAATGACTGGATGTAAATTCATGTGAAACACCTAGTAGAGAAAGTATGAGAATTATAGGAACCCTTTCCCCTAGATTTTTCCCCTTTGTATTTCTGCCAACCAAGCAAATTTCTCAAGGGAAAGCCTTGAAGAAAAATTTAAGTGCTACTGTCAGATTATATGCTCACAAACTTTAAAAAAGTCCTAGAGGCAGCAGCTAGGATAGAGCACCAGCCCTGGATTCAGGAGGACCTGAGCTCAAATCTGGCCTCAGACACCTAACACTTACTAGTTGTGTGACCCTGGGCAAGTCACTTAACCCTACTGCCTAGCCAAAAAAAAAAAAAAAGTCCCTCTGATACCATTACCTTTGTTAAGTGTGGGAAGTTTCAAAGGGATACTGATAATCCCTACCAAATCTTCTGTGGGGACCAGGGAGCGAAGGATTGACCTGATTCGGATGGCTTCCCCTTTTCCTGTTTGGATAAGCTGTCAAAACAGAAACATGACAATAAGTTTAAATAAACATATTCCCTCCCCCCACTCCGTAATTTTGCCCCTATTTCCTATTTTGTATACACAGAACGAAGTCAAGGGATCAAACTGCTTTCTTCAAGGCATATATCGACATGCTACGCAATTACAACTTGACTTAGGATCACAGGCAAAAAGTTTTAATTGAATTGGATATGATGCTAGGGAGATATTAGGACTAAAAAACTAATTTGATTTACTTGTATCTACTAATCAGAAATTAGAATACAGAATTAAGGCACCAAATTTCATCTACAAATATGAGCTATAATGGGGGAACTGAATTAATATTTGAGTATTTTATGATTTGCAATGGGAGGTAGATATCCCATTCCCCCCCCACTAAGACATACAGATTTCTCAGAAATCATACAATCAACATTAACAAGACACTGACAACTCCACTACCATTGTCTATCTCCTGAGTATTATAGCTTTCATGGAACTTCAGGATCAATGAAGAGAGGTAGCTTCTCATGACGATAGCAAGTGCATGCACCTCCCATAGCCAAGTGATATCTGGGATGATTCTCTAATAAGGTAGGAGAATGAAGATGAGAGTGGGATCTGTTTAGGCTTGAACCCACAAAAGTGACCTGAATACACAGACCCTGCTTCAAATTTTGAGACATTAAGCTTTTTAATACTTCAGGATAAGCCTGAAACTTTGTGGAGGAAAACGTAGTTTGCTGAAGTGATAGCAGTAAGGAATGGTCTGTAAATGCTGAAAAGAATTGAGTGATATTTAATATTTGCCACTCAAAGAGTTCGAAGAACTTCACAGTGTTTTTCATTTTCATTTTTTTTAAAAGAAAGAAAAATAAAAGAAATACAAACAGTTTGAAACGGAGATGAGTGAATAATTTGTCCCAATTCATGCAGAGAAAGAACTAGGATTACAGAGCATGAATTTTGCTGCTCAGTACAATCCTCTGTCCTGCGGTGTTTTTCTTCCAACTATTGCACATCTCTTTATAAGGATAACAACAGCTCATTTTAAATAGCACTTTAAGGTTTTTAAAATCCTTTATCTCATTATCTTATCTTAACTTCAAATTTCTATGAAGTAGGTTCTATCATTATTCCCATTTTGCAGATTAGGAAAGTGAGCGGTGAGAGATTAAATTTACTTGCTCCTTATCACACAACTAGTAGATGTCTGAGGTGAAATTTGAACAAAAATATTTTTCATTCTAAGTTCAATGCACTACATCCTTTGCAACAATGTCTCTCATTTGAAAGGTCCCTCAGGCTCACAACCTAGGACTCATCCTTAACTCCTCACTATCTCTCATCCCCCATATCCAAATTGTTGCCAAGGCCTGTCAATTTCACCTCTGCAACAAGTAAATATCTTCTTTTTTCCTTTGACATTGCTACCACCCCACTGTAGATCATCATCACCTCATATCTGGATTATTGCAATAGCCTGCTGGTGGGTCTGCCTGACTCAAGTACCTCCCCACTCCAATCTATCCTCCATTTCCTAAAGCACAGGTCTGACAATGTCATTCTCCTATTCAGTAAACTTCAGTGGCTCTCTATCAACTCCAGGACTAAATACAAAACGCTCTATTTGGCATTCAAAATCCTTTATAATCTAGCCCCCTCCTACCTTTCCAGTCTTCTTGTACCTTACTTTTTTGGGGGGGCAAGGCAATTGGAGTTAAGTGACTTGCCCAGGGTCACGCAGCTAGTAAAGTGTCAAGTGTCTGGTCCGAGACCGCATTTGAACTCAGGTCCTCCTGCCTCCAGGGCCGGTGCTCTATCCACTGCGCTATACCTTACTTTCTGCTACGTGCTCTTTGACCCAGTAATAATGGCCTCTGGATTTTTCCAGTAATAAAACACTTTATCTCTTGGCTCCAGGCATTTTCTCTGGCTGTCCCCCAAGCGCAGAATGCTTTCCTTTCTCACCTCTGCCTATTCACTCCATTGGCTTCCTTCAAGTCCCAACTAAAATTCCATTTTTAATTGAAAGCCTTTCTTACCCCCTCTTAATTCTAGTGCCTTCTCTCTGTTCATTATTTTCTATTTATCCTCTACACAGCTTGCTTTGTATGTATTTGTTTGCATGTTGTCTCCCCCATTATATTGTAAATGCCTTGAAGACAAAAGCTGTCTTTTACCTCTTTTTGTGTCCCCAGCACTTAGCACAACGCTATGTAATAATGTTTTTTTTTTAAATTGGTTAATGGGGTCTGCTTTCCATGGATATTAAGTTGTATAAAGCACATCCTACTTCATGATGAAGAGGCATATTATCTTATTCTTACTTAAAATTTATTCCAATCCCCAGTCCAGAATTCTAAATTCCTTTGGAAAATCCTCTACAATAATTAGAATGTACAGGGGTAAAAGAGACAGGAAAGTAGGCACCTTGGCCCATAATGAGCAAGAAAACAATTCTAGAGAATCATCAAAAAGTTTCTCTCATTTAAAACTTATTCCCCCCCCCCTTTTTTTAGGCAATTGGGGTTAAGTGACTTGCCCAGGGTCACACAGTTAGTGTCAAGTGTTTGGTCTCAGGCCAAATTTGAACTCAGGTCCTCCTGACTTCAGGGCCAGTGCTCTATCCACCGAGCCACCTAGCTTTCCCTTATTTCCTCCCTTCTGCTCTAATGTTTTCTTTTTATTTCATATTGCCTCATATGCTCCCAAACTAAAAAACAAACCGATGAATGGGGGAGGGGTTAATTAGAGATTGCATCCCAGGGGAGTTTTTCAGACTTCCCATTTTGGTGATGGCAGGGAGAACTTCTCAACTTTTTAAGCTGAACAGCAAACATACACATATAAATGGTAGTTTCTCATTCTCAGAACAATAAGTCAAATTTATAATTAATGTAACACTCAACAGAGAAATTGAAGTAAAAAGCATACAATATGAAAAGTTAATTTCCTCTATGTATTCTAAGTTACTGAAGTTTATTTCTATGTTTTCCAATATTAAGTAAAGTAAGTACTAATACAACAAAGACTTATAGTTGTGTCAACCTGAAAGATTTTACTCCAGGTAATATTCAGTGCCTTCTAGCATTATTTCAAATTTTTGTGATAGATTTTTGAAATTGTGTCATCAAAGGATACATCTCAAAGAAAACCAAACAAAAACAAAGAAAAAACCAAACCGTATCCCAAAGTCCCAATCCCAAATAAAAAGAAGGCATCCTTGGTTGAGATATTCTGCAGAATCTCCTACTAAGAAATAACTAAATAAACTTATAAGGAGAAATTATTTCATGGTGGTGAAAACTACTTTCCATGATGAGATTGTTTCAATAGACAACATTTGTTACATTTTGCCAAAGCAAAGGCAAGATGAGGCATAATTCAGTGATGCTTTCCAAAAGAAAAAGTGTAGAAGAGATACTGAACAGATTATATTGAGAAACCACATAAAATATAGGGATATCTTACATACAGAAATCTCCCCAGAAAGCAACTAAATCAGGTAGTGGGAATGAAAACTACATTTGATTTTAACCATGGTTCTTTAGCCAAGAACCACAAGGAAAACATGTTAGCAAAATGCATAAAATACATTTAGAAAAAGTACATTGCTTCTCATTCAAGATTCTTGCAGTTAAATCTAATGGAACACCCACCACTTACATGCATTTCAGGTGCACAGCGGCCCAGCAGGTCTATGAGAGCTGAATAAAATGACATGATCGAATTGCCCATGTGTACAATTTCTTCCTCACTGTCATCTTCCTCTGAACTGCTGAGAGAAAATCAAATACAATGGAGGTGTAAGGCAGCCTGGGAAGCAATGGGCCATATTTTCTAAGTCAAAGGAATTAGGAAGTTTGATGAGTGCTTTCTATAAAAAAACAAAACAACCAAACCATTTACCATGTTACACCCAGGCAGGAGCCCATGCAAAGATATGCTAAGTTTTCAAGAATGCTTATCCAAACAGACACTAATTTCCAAATATCAGGAATGTAGGCAGAGTAATTATTTTTCATACAGTTCAAGAAATCTAAATATTTGTTTTTTTCTATATACGAACATATGCGGGCTTTGGGGGGAATCAGGTCTATCATTCTAGGTTCTCAAGGACATCAAGTTATAATAAATTTGAACTCTACCAAAACTACATATTCAAAAATCTGACCACCCAAGTAGTATAACATAGATTGTCCCCAAATCTCACACTAGCTGTTAATATCAGTTCTTTTCCCTTTTGTAGCAAAAAAAAAAAAAAAAAAAAGCCCTAGAGTCAAAGTCAGGACACTTGGATTCTAACCCCAACTCCAGTACTGACTAATTGTGTGACCTTTGTGGTAAGTCATTTCATCTTTCTAGTGGGCAATTCCTTATCTCTAAAATGAAGGGGTAGGAAAAATGATTTTTAAGGTTTTTCTCAATTCTGAAATTCTATGATTTTCAAAATTGTCTTTGAAGAAGAAGAAGAAACCAAAAGAGTTTCACTACTTTTTGGTTAATTGGCAAAGGAGGAAAGTGGTATTCCCACAGTCTGGACTAAGTTTTGATTAGCAGTAAAAAAGAAAGGACAGAAATGGAAGAAACAAAAAAAAAAGTGACTAATTCACTAACTACGTAATCAACCTCTGAAAATCAAGAATTTATATTAACAATAATTTCTCCTCAAATGGGGCTCAACACACTTATCTAATTAATTCTCATACTTCTGACATAGGAATTAATAATAGTTACATATTTTTTGTAGGTTGTAAGTAGAGGATGAAGCCCACAAACACAGTATGATTAACAAAACTGCCTTAGGTCATACAAATATTTAAATGGACTAACTTTGGTTTAGGTCATCTTGAAACAGAAATTATAAATTAGGAAGAGTGACCTCTAACTAAAACATTGTGAATGACTACATGCTCCTTAAAGTGACCTTCTCCACTCTAAGTCATGTAACTCATTCCAAGCAAGTGTAGTAGTAGGTGTAATGAAGAGTGGTTATGGAAGGAGAAGAGTGTTAGGCTTATTTGCAAGGCCCATTACCTGGGTCATCTCCCAGGACAGAAGAAGTGAACATGACTAAGTGATTTTAAAGTGTTTTCATTATATCACTGAAGGACCAACATTTTCCTAATTAGAATACAATTGATACTTCATAATTCATCAATTTTATTCATAGTATATAGGGGATCACTATACCAGTTCACAAGTTTTAAGTACTTACCAAAAGGCAATTCCATTTACTTACATTTCTTTCTTATATCCCTGAGAAGGAAGGTCGAGAGCTGGGTTCTCAGAGATTTTAATAGCTCCTTGCATAGCTGCCAACAGACCATTTCCTCCTTCACCCCTCAGAGCTGGTCCAAAGCACTCTGGACGTCTTATAAGAAGCTTGACAACAACACTAGCATTTTCTTCCACACTCTCACCTAAGGAAAATAAGCACCAGTCTCTACCTCATATAAAAGAATGACAGAGGAATTAGCTTCTAATTATTTGGTTTGGGGATATAAACTTTCATTAAATATGTAACTCACTATATTAAGAGGCTGTAATGACAGAGTGAAATTTGGTCTTTGTATAAAGCAATATGTCTGTTTATATAAAATCATCAGATTCAATGCATTGACAGAGCTCCATTACCTTGCGCTCAACTTAACTAAATTTTATACTTCCAAAGGCAAGAAATAGTTCGAACTACTAATTGGAAAAAAAAGAATATTAAGATGGTCTTTTTTTTTTTTTTAATTCAGTGAGGATTTGCTGAAAGGCAAGTAGTTGTAGCTCATATTGGTGGCTAAAAATCAACATCATGATAATGGCCATGCTTAGTTTCCAACCAAATATGATTGTTCAAATTTCATTAAAATATTTATTATTTCTTCTTTTATTGCAGATCCCTCCTTGTTCCTAATCTAAGGGCAAAATTACAGTGCTCTAAAAGGGTTTTTCTATTGCATTATAATAGAATTCTAGGCTACAACTATAGACTAAATATAAGATTCTCAAAGTCATTATTTTCTGGGTTGAACATAATCCAAAGATTCTTATAGAATAAAAATGAAATGGAAAAAGTTCTTTTAGAAACAATATTGATTAAGATGACTTAATGGATGCCCTATAAGTAATATTTGTAGTGAGTATTGACGGGGTTATGCGCCCATCATTCAGTTTCAGAAGCCAAGACCTTTGCCCCTTTTTGCCAAAAGGAATTTGGCTCCCATTTGTTGAAAACCCTTAAACTTTTAGATTCCTTACAGACTGCCTTTATTTCCCTTTGAAAGCCTTAGCCTTACCTTTTGATCTTATTCAGATGCACCTTTGTCCCTGGCCCTAAAAAGAACCTGGCTCCCCTTATTTTTCCCATTAGAATATCACATTCAAGATTCTTATTTAAAGTAATTGCGGCATAGTTTTGTCTGATCTAGACTTTAATTTCTTGGTACTTGAACTCTCTTTCTGGCTACTTTCAGTATTTTTTACCCTTTGACCTGGGTACACTAGATTTTGGCCACGACCCTCAGGATGTGAATGGTGGATTTCACAAAGTGTTTTCACTTTGCCATATGGTTCCAATATCTTTGGGTAGTTTTAGTGAAATATGGTGTTGAGGTTTTTGTTTGGTCCGTATTCTTGGGGAGAGCAATGATTTTAAACTGAACTCTCCTTGACATATTTTACTTTTTTTTTTTTTTAATGTGAGGCAATTGGGGTTAAGTGACTTGCTCAGGGTTACACAGCTAGTGAGTGTTATATGTCTGAGACCAAATTTCAACTCAGGTCCTCCTGACTCCAGGGCCTATGCTCTATTCACTGCACCACCTAGCTGCCTCTCGACATATTTCGCAGATCTAACTCAGTCTTTTGACATTTTTTCCCCATTATTTCTTGCCTCACAGAATTACTGAATTCTATTCACTAAATTTCATTTTTGATTTTTTTCAGGGAGTCCATTATTTGAACAAGTTTTTCCCCCAATTCAACAAACATTTATTAAGCACTGACTATGTGGAAGACAAGGATATATTTGTGACTGACCTCATGTCACCAGGATGGACATGGGAACTAGCATTTATATACTATCTACTATGTCCCAGGCACTGTGTTAAGCTCTTTTACAAATATTACCTCATTTAATCCTCACAATTACCTTGCCAGGTAGGTGCTGTTACTTTTCCATTTTTTCAGTTGAGGAAACTGAGGCAAAAAGATTAAGTGATCATTTCTGCCTGTTTCCTTGGTTAAGGTTTTCTATCTACTATTCTAAACTACTATTCTCTTTCCAATTCCCACCTCTCTACCCCCAATCTAATTTCCATTCTAATTTTAATTTAAAAGAATCTTTTGCTACATGTATTCCAGGTACTACTGGAGTCTTTGAGATCAAGGCATTCTTTTCTCTGAGGTTCTACCTGTACTTGCTGCAGAGTTATTCTCTTCTTCTGGGTTTTATACTCTAACTTTCTTAATTTCTTCATTGTGTTCAGTGTTTTCTTCTGTTTGCTCCTACCTCTCACCTCAGTTTCTGGATTGGGAATGTGTGATGGCCATATTCCGTCCTTTCTCACACTTAGTGGGCAGACCCTATTTGGTCCTGTCCTCTCTAACATCTTAAAGCTACTGAAGTTCCAGGGGAGTGACTGACACTAGATCCTGACTTGTGCTTCAATCTCAGGTTTATGCCTCAGTATCCTGGTGGTACAATAGCATACTGGCCTTGGCTTACCTTCTCTTTATATAATCTGTAATCAGGAGTAGGTTCTGTCCTGTGCTGAGACCCTAACAAGGAACTAGTCAGATATGGGGGATTATTCTGGCCTCAGTCTCCTGAAAGATCTTACTAGATGTGAAGCCAATTACTGAGTTTGGCTCTGTCTCTTGCTGTAGCTCTAAGTGTGCTAACACATGCACTACATTACCCCTCTGAATAATGACTTACAGGAATTCGCTTTCTCCTTTTTTTACTGCTCTGACAGGCCAGGGCTGAGATACTGCTAGTTTCAGTACCTGATCATTAGAACTTAAGCTAGCTTCAGCCTCCCTTGGAATAACTGAGCATACCTGAAGGCTTGTGGCCATTTTCTTGTGCAGTCTTGGATTGGATGGAAAAATTTACCACCATTTTTATTAGGCCTTATTGATCACTATTCTATTTCGCATTCTTTTAGATCTTAGCTGGCATGTGTATAGGAGACCTTTCACACTGCCATTAAAACAGAAGTCACCAAAGATTTATTTGTCAAATCAGATTTTTTTCTTGATCTTCGTCTTTCTCAGCCTCTATGAAGCAATGAAATGGTATATCACCCTCTCTTTTTGGAAACTCTCACATTTTAGAGTGTTTGTGACACTGTACTTTCCTGGTTCTCCTCCCACTTGTCTGATTGCTTCTTCTTAACCTACTTTACTAGTTCATCAATCATATAATCACCTTTAACTGTGTGGGTATGTATGGGGGAGGGATTTTTCAGGACTTTGTCCTTAGCCCACTTTTCTCTCTCCACATTCTCTTCTTGGTGACCTTTTCAGATCCAATGTGTTAAATATCACCTTTATGAGGATACCTCCTAAATCTAAATAACATCCTTAGCCTCTCCCTTGAGCTTCAGATACACATCTTCAACATCCTATTGGACATTTCAAATTGTGCTGTAAGAATCTCAAACTGAGTATGTACAAAACAGAATTCGTATCTTTTCCTCACACTTACCACTTCCGTATTTGTGTTAAGGGTGCTACCATCCTTCTAGTTGACCTCTGAACTTTCCATGTTCAAAACCCTAATGTTATCCATGACTCTACTCTCCCTCTTCCCACACATCCAAACAATTGCTAAATATTGTTGTTTCTACTACATGACATCTCTCACATCTATCTTGTTCTCTTTACTCACACAGCAAGCTGTTTCACTAACTGTATTTCCAGTCTCATGAACACATTATTCTCATCATACATAGCAAGGTTTAGTCAAACTGGTACTTGCTATTCCTCATGTACAACATTCCATGTCCTATATCGATGTTTTTGCATCAGCCATTCCATATGACTGGCACACTTTTCCTCCTCACCTCTGACCTTAACACCCCTTTACTCCTTTAGAACTCAGCTCAGATGCCACTTTTTACATGAAACCTTCCTGATACTTCTAGTAGGTAGCGCCCTCCCCACAACCTACCTTTTATTTATTTTGCATGTATTTTTATATTCTTAGGTACATACACTGTTTTGTCCAAGAGAATATAAGCTCCCTGAGGGAAGGGAATGTCTTTTCTTTGGGTTTTTTTTTTGGCCATTTTTATTTTTTTCACACTTATTTATTTTATTTTTAATTTATTGAATAAGACAAGCATTTCTATAACATAGTATAGTAAAAAAGATGATTGTACATGAAACTACAAATCTATTATGTACAACTTGATATTTATTTTAAATATGTAATAAAATTTCATGTAAATATCTTTTTTTTCCCTTTCCTCTCTCCCCCCTCTTCTTTGTTTTTCAATTGCCAATATTTGGCTTGGCATAGTTGTCTCTCAATAAACACTTGTTGATTGACTCACTGTTCACAAAGACAGCAAACCGTAGGAAGGACAAGTAACGCTCCCCTTCAATGGGATTCCAGCCAATGTCAGGATATCCCTTGGCCAGGAGCATAGGGCAGCTCTGTAGACCACAGCCTGCCAAGTATGTCACCACCTGTAAAGCATGATAGAATGGTAAATATGTATGTAGATGTATATTTGTTTCTAGGGAGTAATATAAATCCCTGTAGAAAATATAGGAAATAGAGAAATTTCTCCTTTCCATAGGCTAAGGAGAACCCAAGCATTCTAGATGTGAAATTCAATGTGTTTTAATCAGAGAGCCACAACTATTTTTGTTTCCAAGAAGAACTATTACTGATTTTAATCAAGGAATAGATGCTTTCAGTTACCTTGCATAAAAATATAAATGATATTCAGTTCTAACTGGGAAATAGAATAGATAGCTGTTTATTCAATAATCAGTTTCCTAGTCTCCCTCTGGGTCTAAGAAAGTAGGGCAAGGTAAGAAGAGGGATTCTGTACAGTAATATATAGAAGCTCAATTACCTCTTAATGGAACCTAAAGGAGCTGGTTTTGAGGGGCTCTACAAGGAATTCTATAGCTATCTATGTCATGATGACATTGTAATTGATTCACAAACATACTCACACTTTCTTCATTAACACCAGTCATCCACTGAAAGTTTGCACTATTCTCAGTTTGCAATATAAGGAACAGATCAAGCAGATTTTGTAGAACATGTCAGCCTGTGTGCTCTCTTATAACTTAATAGAAGCTTTGGTTACCAGGAACATATCTATAGAATCTCAGATCTGATATTGTGCAGATTTTAGACACTATGCCTTTGCTTGTCATACAGACATTATTACAATTCTGACTGAATTTTTTTGGAAGGAAACGAACAAAATAAGACTTTATTGCAAAAAACAACAAAACAAGGTATAACATTATAGGGAGGACTTTTTAACTCCCCCTCCCATTTTTTCCTGTCAAGATTCCCACCAAAAGGAGATTTTAAAATCTTCATAGAATTTGCAAGTTTTCTAGGCATTTCCCAGGCTTCTTCTGATTGCTTCTTAACACCATGAAAAAATTAATAAAGTATAAGTTAACTCTAGAAGTTATTAGTAAGTTATCCAGTCACTCTTTCAAGTAGTCTCATCCTAAACTGCTCTTATTTTTATCCTTATGATCAGCAACAAGAGCAACATCTTCTTGTTTCTTGGGATGTTCTGGGGAAAACTTGTCAGAGGATTATCGTGAAATCTAGTCATTCAACTGACTGAAATCCATGCAATCACAGAAGTACTAAATGCCCATAGCTTAAAGTGACCATAAAGTGATCCAATATACTTATTTTAATAATGAGGAAATTGGGGCAATCAGGGGGTGCTGTGGATACAGCACCGGCCCTGGAATCAAGAGAATCTGAATTCAAACCTGGCCTCAGACACCTGACACTTACTAGCTGTGTGACCCTGGGCAAGTCACTTTATCCTGATTGCCTCACATAATAATGATGATGATAATGATGATGACAATGATGATGATGATGATAATGAAATTGAGCCCAGAAAGATTAAGTAACTTTACTAAAACAAAACCAAGTCTTCAGACTCCAAGTTTAAAGCTTTTTGCAAGGCTGATTCCTGTTAGAGGAAAAACTACTATTTAAAAAGGCAGAGGGAAATTAGTCCTCTATGATAATTTGAAATATAGCTTCAACTCTCCATTGCTATGGTGCCAGGTAGTTTCTAGGGCTACCAGCTGCTGCTGATACCATTCCAGGTTTTCATTTTCAACCCAGTAAATCTGCATTTTTCTCCAACATATGGACTGAATGGTTGTTGTTCTTAGTGCTTGAAGAGGACCAAAATGATATCACGATTTTGGGGTCAAGGTACAGTGTCTGACTGTGGCTGATCAAACCAATAAGAGCTTGAAAGCCTCTACCACACATTGGGCACAAGTAGTCCACATGAACATTTGGAGTGGGGATGTGTCTAAATTTATGCATCTCATGTTTCTTTTGAGCTACTGTAATTCTGCTTTGCTCATGAAGCAAAGAATCTTCTTTGTTGTGGGTATACCATGCTGAGTGGTCCTGTGCCAGTGTCTCCCAAGTCTCACAATCAATTCCAAAATTCTTCAGAGACTTTGATAGTGTCCTTAATCACTTCTTCTGACCTCTGTGTGAGCACTTGCTTTGTGTGAGTTCTCTGTAAAATAGTATTTTAGGTTAACATATTTTTGGCATTCAAACAATATGGCCAGCCCATCAGAGTTGCACTCTGTAGTAGAGTATGAATGCATGGAATTCAGCTCCACAAAGGACCTCAGTGTCAAGTACCTTATCTTGCCAGGTAATCTTCAGAATCTTTCTAAAACAATTCAAATGGAAGCTATTCAGTTTCCTGGCATGGCACTGATATATTGTCCAGGTTTCACAGGCATTCAGCAATGAGGTCAGCACAACAGCTCTGTAGACTTTCAGTTTGGTAGGCAGCTCAATACCTCTTCTCTCTCACACTTTTCTTTGGAATCTCCCAAACGCTGAGCTTGCTCTGGCAATGCATGTGTCAACCTCACCATCAATGTGTACATCTCTGGAAAGTATATTGCCATGGCAGGTGAACTTATTCACAGCATTCATAATTTCTCCATTTACTATAACCGATGGTTCCACATATGGATGGTGTTATGCTGGCTAGTTGAAAACCTCTGGTTTCTTGGTGTTAATTGTTAGAACTGGTCCATATCCTTCCATCTCAGCCTCTGAGGCTACACTGAGCACACAATCACCTGCTAAGAAAAAGTTTAGCACCAACTTCTTTTCTTTTTTTTATTAATTTATTTTGATTTATCAACAATCACTTCCATATGCTTTTGAGTTTACAATTTTTCTCCCACTTCCTCCCTACTACCTTCCCCAAGATGGCACACAATCTGATATAGGCTATACATATACATCCTATTAAACATTTTTGCATTAGTGATGTTGTAAGTAAGAATTAGAACCAATAAGAGGAACCACCAGAAAGAGGAAATAAAACTCAACAGAAGAGAAAAAAAAATAGGAAACAGTATACTTTGATCTGCATTCAAATTCCATAGTTCTTTCTTTGGATGTGAATAGCAATTTCCATCACGAGGCTTTTGGAGATGTCTTAGATTCTTGTATTGCTGGGAAGGGTTAAGTTTATCAATATTAGTCATCACACAACGTGGCTATTATTGTATACGATGTTCTCTTGGTTCTGCTCACATCACTCAGCATCAGACCATATATGTCTTTCCAGGTTTCTCTGAAGTCAACCTGTTTCATCCTTTCTTATATTACAATAGTATTCCATTACATTCATATACCACAACTTACTCAGCCATTCCCCAAGTGATGGGCATCCTCTCAATTTCCAATTCTTTGCCACCACAAAAAGAGCTGCTATGAATATTTTTGTACATGTGGGTCCTTTTTCCATTTGTACGATCTCTTTGGGATATAGCCCTAGAAGTGCTATTGCTGGGTCAAAGGGCATGCACATTTTTATAGTCCTTTGGGCACCAACTTCCTTTCGAGTGAAATAATTTACCATCAGTGTGGTAGCTGACCTTGATGCCATTTTTGATCTCATTGAAGGTGTCTGAAAACATTGGTAAAAGGCATTGGAGCAAGCACACAGCCCTGCTTCCCTTCACTGGTGACTGGGAAAGTGAGCATCATCCATTATCCAGACCCCATGCAAGAATGACATTGTGGAACTATTCTGACTTGTTGCAGGAGTGTGGAGGTCCTGGGTTTTCTAACATATATTTTCCAAGGGGCTGCCTAGGTCCTGGGCACATTGTAAGAATTTTCTGGTTTTTTTTGGCACAGCGTCATTTCAAAGGCTAAACTGAGGTTATGGGCAACACTCTATATCTGTGATAAATACTTTGTTTAAAGATCTATTACTAATTGCTTTTTTTCGGGTGAGAAGAGGAAATATGAATTGTTATCTCTCTACTAGCACTACTGGTGACCAGAAAAATCTAAGTTATTGATTTCCTTTTAGATTTATGTACAGTAGAGTTTGACTAAGGTTAAATCCTTTAAGAATACACACTGTGGAGAAGCACAGCTTGTAAACAATAAATAATATACATTGGTTGTAGGAACTTTTATAACAATCTGAGTCAAAAAATGTCATTCGGCTCTCTGTATGTAAGGTCTAGAGGACTTGCCTTTAATATATTGCCCTTATTGTCCAAATTCCTCTTTCTCCCCAGCTAAGAGCTTATATTTGTCACTTTAAAAGGGCAAAGGCTGATGCATGGGTCAATTATTTTCTTAAAAGGAATTACCTGGATTCCTAGCCCCATCTCCTAAAATACTACTTGATACAATAATTTCTGATGAAAGCTGGAAATTTAATGTTAATAATTTATAGCAAAAAGTGAAGTTAACTGATGCCTTTATTCCATTAGCCAGATAGCTCATTTGATTAGATTTAGTTTAATTGATTAGTTTAATCTTATAGCCAAAGACTGCTGCTTTAACTCTAGTTAATCCTTTAGCAAATGCCACTGGTCACAACAGAAGAAAGGGGAAAAGACAGACTATATCTCTGCAATATTATTTACATCAGAGGAAAAATAACTTAAAATACATGAATGTCAGTGCCATATTTCTACACATGTATAAATCACATTTATATAGGTATATGTTATCCATATACTTATTTTGAATAAAAATATCTGTCTAATCTTCCCTATATTAATCTACCAATTCTTTAAGAGCAGGTAACTTATCATTTCTTAGTTGACAGCTCAGTGTTATTTACCCAAATACGTATACGAGAAGTGCTTTTTGGCTAGATTTATATATTCAAATTCACAAATATGTATGATACGTGCAGTTAGAAAAATAACATAGAGTCAGAATTACAATATCATCATTATTATATCATTACTATCACATTTTTCTTTTGAGACTGCTTAGATACATGGCTTTCTGATAGGAACTCTCTTCAGTTGACTTTTCATTCATTCACACATACTGAATATTCAGTAAGTGCTTACTATGTGCTAAGTGCTTAGGATACCAAGACAAAAGTGAAAACATCTCCATGCTCAAGGATTTTAAGTTCTACTTTCCTTGCCTTTGTTGCATAAATCACATTACCCTATAAGAGTGATTACCTTCTCAAGGTCTGGCTCCTCCAAGCCCAGTGCCAGTTCATTGTTGTCCATGACTGATGAGGCTGCGACATCAAGTGGGGTAGAACCCCTCATTGCTGGAGAGGCTGCAGAAAGACATGAAAGAACAAAGAAGCAACACAACATCGTCCTAAAGGCTTCTGTAGGTGGGAGAGAATAACAGGTACACTGGAATCTAGGTTAATGGTCTATTTCATACTAATGGGCATTATCTTCCATTTGTCTGAGAATGGCAATTTGTCTCAGAATGGCAATTTGAATAGGATTTTAGAGGCTGAAATAAGCCAAAATCAGGAGGTGGGAGGTTGGCACTCTTCTTCCTTTTCATCATCCTAAGTTGAATATGGAGGAAATGTATGATTTTAATAACTGTAAATAAGAATGCTTCTACTGATATAAAGGGTCCCCATTGTTTAAAGTCCTCCCCCAGCAGGAAATTTCATAGAAACCCCATTCAGTGACCACCATTATTGTCCCCATTTTACAGATGCAGAAACTGAGGTATGGAGATGTCATTCTTGGTATAGTTGGAGAATGGTAGCAATCAAGTATTCTGTATCCTAACATATCATTTGACCTATAAGTCCTATTAATTTTGGAGAACATAGTGTTGTTGCTTTCCATATTTAAAAATCTCCCAAGGTCTGCGGATTGTTTTGCTTTATTCTTAGGCTGAAATAAATGAGAAAATTTCTGTCTCTAGTAAATAATGTCAGACAAAATCATATTGCAAACTAGTACAGGACATTAGTGTTTTAGGAAGAAAATGCTGAATTAATTCATTTGGTAAACAGAAATTTGAATTACATATGTATATGCAGCGATGTACATGTATACACAATTAATACATTTTATTTATATCATCTCATGGAAGTAACCCTTCAGAGGTTATGCCAGTGGAGCATAATCTTTGGTAGGTTCCACCACATTGAAAAGTTTTAAATAAAGACCATGAATAGACTATGTGTCTGTCATTCAAGGACCAGCCCAGCTAAATTTGGAGAAGCTCATTCAGCAGAAGTTACAATGGTAGACTAACCACAGTAACTCATGAAGACCACCTGTTAAGGTATTAGTAGGTTATCATCTGTGTTGGTAGGAGTTCCTACATTAATGGAATCATGGATCCTCGAAATAATGAAGCACATAAAACAAATAAAAATATGCTATCATTTATATATGAAAATTGTTTGAGACACTGCTTTCCAATAGAAGTGATGGATTTACTGAGGTCTAATCACACCCTCTCTCTATTCCAGTGTGATTAATAACTAAAAACATACATTTGTAAGCTGGCAGGATGGGGACAGAAATGTATTCCATGGCCATGGAACAGAGAAAAGGCTATCTTGTTAACAGATTGAACCTTTCACACTGTCATTATTATCATCATGCTTTATCCAATTGAGTAGGGCATGTCACATGTGTACTGCCCTGACTGGACAACTTATAAAATATGTGTCATTGGTCCCAAGGGGGATGGGTTGAAATAGGAAGAAAGGATCCATGCAGATCTATGTCTACTTCTAGAAAAAATAATACGTAGCATCAGTAACATCATGTTTGAACAGGAAGTGAAAAGTGCACATATGAACAGAAAAAGAAAGGACACATTTATATTTTCTTTTAGATCATGAATAATGTCTCCTTTAAAAAATACAAGACATAACATTTCTTTATCTAACATTACATACCTAGGCCAAAACTGCTATTTTCAAGTAGGTAGCTTAGATGCTCAAACATAGCTTTTTGATTTTGTCTGCTAATTCGGCAAAAATAGCAAAGGAATCGGCAACAGCTAGCAACCATCTTTGGAAAAGCAATCTGAAAAGTGAATCAAAGAAAGTAATTAATCAATATCTGCTAGAGGTTGTCACTAAATTTGTTATAAAATACTGACCATAAATAATCTTAAGACATAGCTCTTACAAGCAGAAAGTAGCTCAGAGATGTATCCCTATATTCTCATCTCATCCCTTTGGTTTACATCACCCCAGGGAGCATCAGGCAAGTTGTTTATCCAGATGAGGGTTATTAGAGCTGAGAGCTAAATATAGTTTTTAAGAACATCTTCTCTCCAAAGGAAATCCAAACCAAACATTTTTTGTCTAGCCCAGCTGCCCTCTTATTCCCTGGAGATGATGTGATATGGTATAGCTGCAGTCTTTTTCCTAGATGGAAATAAAGTATGAATGCATTCTAAAGGAAGCTTTAGGGAAAGTAGAAGAGGTGGTAAGTTATTGTGCTCATATGCAAGGACATAAGACATCAGAGTAAAGATTGTGAAAATTAACAAGCTATTCACTGAGTACTATGCCTTTTACTGACTCATGAGTCTTTTTCAATTATTCCAGCCAATAATAAAATATACCCTTCTGTTAAATAATTATGGTACTAGGATCTATACCAGGAAAAATCAGGAATTTACTGTAACTAGTCTTGTACTGTTTGCTTTTGCTTCATGTATATTATTAATCTCATATTTCCAAAGAGATTGACTTGAGCACTTATACTTTTATATGCCATACGTTGTACTGATTTAACCAGCAGCTTTTGTAAAGAGTAGATACTCAAATGTTTATTGATTATAGGTTTCCAGTCTGGGTTCCCTTCACTAGTTTTCCTCAAAGGGCTGTGGGAAGACCAGAATAGCTGACTGGGTCTTGATTTCCCTCTTTTAAATTAAGGATGAAGCACTTTAAGAATGAACAAGTTACTAATCCCAATAGGCTGACATTGAGATAGACTGCTCCAGAGAACATTAAGGCATCTTCTAAGGGACTTACTAGAAAGATCAGACTTTGAGAGTTGGAACAAGTCCAGTTGAAATGGAGTACTCAGCTTAGCTTCTGCCTGATTTTTAATTCCTCACTCCTTAGAGATTTTATATAGGATATTACCAATCACTGGAAGTCTGAAGCCCCTGAATGCTGGCCTTGGAAATTTGCTTGGTCTACTAAATAGAGGTGGCCCTACTGAGAATCCAAGCTGAGTAGTACTGAGTTATCCTGCATACTCATTTCCTTCTACAAAAGAGAAACAGATTTCCTTGATAACAGATGCTCCTTCTAACTGCAGGACATTTACCAGGTAGTGGGCCATAAAGTCTGATTTGATTAGAAATGCTAGACATATAGGAGAGGTACACAATCCAGGGGGAATGGGAATTAGAATCATCAAGATCTCTTTTCAAACAGTTAAGAATTACTTATACTAGGATGAATTAGAGGTTGAGAAGAACCAGCCTATAGAGAAGGAGAAGGAAACATTAGCGAGCTAATCTAGCACAGTAATGTGTCTAAGGGAACTCTTTGGGCTTTCACAGGATTGGTGGTCATAGATTCTCTAGACCCTTCAATATCTATGTCAGTGTTTTCTGTATGGTATACATTTGGTAAGTTTTTATTGAGGTGGAACTGAATTAAATACTCAGCTAGGCTAGTAGCAATTGTGTGTGACTATACCGTGACCTCTGATTTAGCCAGGCATCATTCAGTTCTCTACCTGCCCCTGTCATATCCAAATTTTATAAAGTTAGAATAACTGAGATAATAGCTAAAAAGCTGCCACCACACTAAAGAAACTATGGCAGTTAAACTTGGGGTAGGAAAAAGAGGCAAGCAGCACCAAAGCACAACAAGCTTGAGAACTAGATCTTTCCTTCTCTCCCCTACTTTAAGGCTAAATGGAAGCAACATATAAAAGTAGAGAGAAGCAGAACTGCTTTCTTGTTGGCTGCTTTGGATAATGCTGGCCCACTGCATGGTAGCAGTGATCCTTTTTCAAGCTGGTGAATCTTTTCCTGATGGAGCAGTGCAGCTTTGAGGACCCGTTATTTCTGAGTATTTTCTCTGCATGTTTCTATGTTTATCTGTGTTGTGTGTCCTTAGAGAATCTTAGTAGGCTAAGCAGGACATGCTACACGTTGCATACATTCAAATAACAATGAAAGTTTTGCACTGATCAATCTGTATCACCATGTTAATGGTAGCTGAGTTCTTGACAACGCCTTCTAAGACTTTCTCTATTCTCTCAAGGATGCTTTTGTCAGAGCTTGGGGAACTTGCCAATGTGTTAATTCTGGGGACATCCATTTCATTGCTCTCTATCATGAGGCAAATGATGATAAAACTCTCCTTGTAATACCTGAGATTTCTCTCCTCCAAGAACATTCACCATCACCTCCATTACAGTCTCATGCATGCCCAGGACTCTCATGAGGTTGGGATGTTGGTAAAAAACTTTGTTATTCATTATATCCCTAGGATAAAGAGTAGAAAAGAGCTTTACCCATTTTGCCATCAATACTACTGTGTTACACTATACGTCTCTGTTCACTGAAAGGCCTGTAGGTACAAAAGACTGTGAACCATTTCATTCTACTGAGCTATCTGGGATAGTGAAACTACTACTCTGACTTTACAAATGAAACTGGGGCTCACTAATGTAATTTGCTAGAGGTCACAAAGTAAGAGTCAGAATTGGAATCTGAGCCCAGTTTTCCTGATTCCAAGTTGTGTTCTTTTCATTATACCATGCTGCTCTTTGGCATAATTTGACATTAAAAACCAAAATTCACAAAGGAAGAGGCATGGGTGAATCGCAGCTCTTTAATCTTTTTTTTTTTCAGTCAAAGGTTTATTAGAACATTTGTCATATTGGGCAGACTCTTAAGGAATGTGAACATTAGTGAGCTATTGGCTAGATTACAAAAATCTGAGCCTTTAGCTAGATTTTAAGAATCTGAGCAGTGGCTAGATTATAAGAATCTGAGCATCTTAATGGAGACAAGATGGACCTTATATACAGAAAGACTATGGGAGGGATCTAGGAGTGGCCAAGTAGTCTATGAGGTAAAAATTTCAGGGACCTGGACCACCAGGCTAAGGGAGAATGCCTAGATAGGATTTAGGGTGGGAAGTGGCCTGGGGCCATAGGGAGGTAAGATAATGGAAGGCTAGGCTAGGTTAAGGGTAACAGAGAATTGGGAGATTGGGCATAGCCACAATAAAAGGCCAGTTGATGGAATTATCCCATCCTCATCATTCCCCCCTCAAACAAATGGGACCCAAATTCTTTTGGGGTAAGGGGTGAAGGTCTTGGTTTCTGAAACTGCTTTCTGCTGGCAAGGGGTATAGAGCTATCCCTGCCTCGAGGAGGTCCCAAAGAGAAGGTTGACTGGAACTGAGCACAGGCTCAGGGAATGATGGGGGTATATTGGCTGGTACCTGCTGTTTGCTACCAACTGTAGATGAATGGCCTATAGTCTGGAAGATAATTCAGTTTTCCAACCATGAAGTATAAAATCTACCTCATAACCAGACTCAGGAACAGCCAGGTGGGTAACATTCCTTTTAAAAGGAACATAATGGGGAAACTGAGCCAGGAGGATCCCATCTTGGACTGAGGCTAAAACTGTCCTTTCAGCTTTTCCTGATACTGACTTCTCACCAGAATCACATTCTCTCTGAGTAGCTCATGGCATTTCTCTCAGATGTTAGATTATTGATTATCGATGCATTATTATGATCCATTAGACAACTCAAAATAAAATCCTATGAGCTTTTACCTCAAACAGCAAATTTCACTAATCACAGTTTAGGAAAAACTTTTCCAGGATTTACATCTCAAATTTAAACTTGTCCTGGTATAAAAAGTCAATTGTTAGAGATTATTTCTACATACTTGCAAATTCTCAGTAAGCCATAACCCAAACAATTTTTTTGGCAAGTTTACACATTAAAACAATAACCAACAAGAGTCAAATTATTTTAGTGGTAACCAAATTATGAAAAGTTGCTTGACATAACTGATACAAAAAGTTCACTAATTTGAAACTTGAAACAAACCCATTACCAATCAGGTGACTTCAGTTTAGTTAAATGCATTTCCAAATTACTTTACACAGAGAATCAACATCTCATCATTAATAGTTATAACTACAACTTTAAAAGAGTGTGCTTACCCAAGTTTAGAGGCCAGTTTCTTTACCTTGAGCAGGATGTGCTGAACCTGGGTGATGCTTCTAGGCAAAGGCTGCCCTAGGGCCCAAGGTCATTGCCAGAGAATCCCATGCTGTAGCTGCTGCCCCTCCCCCCTCCTTCCTTTCCCCAGGTAGGGGAGGGTGAAATCAAAGGTGAAGGAGAGGGGTTAATGGATACCCTCTTGACTCAAGGGAAGGGAGTGACCAGGGTTGTTTCAAAACTCCTTAATGATCTGATCACAAAACTTCCAGAATCTGCCAAGATGTTTTTAGCTGTTCTAACTTTTCCCTGTAGCCTCCATGAAGGAGGATTCAGGGATGTGGAGGGAAGGGAGTAAGTAAGCCTCACAGAACCAAAAAGCACCTACAGTTTTCCCAATTCTCTAGCGCCAAGAAAATTGACAGAATTGGGCATACACTTCTGGACTGGGTGTCTGTCCTTGTCCTCTATGCTGTGAAAGGTGTATCCAGGTCCATGGCCTTGCAATGAACTGTTGAACCAAGAGCCTGAGAGTATCAGGCTGAGTGCAAGAAAGCTTCATAACTGTCTGCCTGAAAAGTACCTCCAAGCCTTCCTAGGTGCTTGGAGAGCAACCCCAACTGCAGGGCAAGAAAGAAGAGGGGGAGACTTACATACATTCCAGTCTTTGCTGGAGAAGAACTTGGGGTTAGGCAGTTTTCCTGGTTCAGGGAACCATATGATGAAATCTAGAGGTTAAGGGGTGCTGGGACCCCAAAATCAGAACACACGAGTCCTGCCTGTAAGAATTCGACCCAAGCCTTCTTTCAGCCAAAGACAAGGTTTATTAGAACATCTGTCATATTGGGCAGACTCTTAAAGAGTCTGAACATTAGTGAACTATTGGCTAGATTATAAGAATCTGAGCCTTTGGCTAGATTTTAACAATCTAAGCAGTGGCTAGATTATAAGAATCTGAGCAGCTCTTTAATCTTTAGATCAATCATGGGACAGTGCCTGGTTGCTGTTTCTCTCCCCTTTTACTCTCTTTTTTTAAACCAGAAGAATGATGATGACAGTGGTAAAGCTTGAGAACGGCTGGTAGGAGACACTATTCTAGCACAGGGAAGGGCTGCTTCTGGATTTGATCTCTTCTCTGAGTCATCCCTACACATCAACAGTTGTCCCTGATCCCTATTCCAATATCATGTTTGACTGAGATATTACATTATGTTTTTTCCCCCCTAAGGCTCCTCTGAGACCTTTCTGTAGATTCTGACTTGGGGTGTAGGCTGCATGTGGGAGCTATTGATGGAGTACAATGAGCAAAGGCTTGAATTGGGTTTTAACTCTGTTCCATTAACTAGTTGTGTGAATGTAGGAAAATAATTTTATCTCTTACAACTTTAGTTTCCTCATTTGTAAAACAAGGAGATGAGATCATTTCTAAAGTCCTTTTCATTACTAATATGTTATGAATCTCTAAGAAATACAAGGGTAGTTAGTATTTGCTGGGCAGCTAGGTAGTAGAGTAGATAAAACACTAGGTTTGGAATCAGGAAGACTCATCTTCATTCAAATCTGACTTCCCACACTTAGTTGCTGTGTGATCCTGGGCAAGTCACTTAACCTTATTTGCCTGATTTCTTCATCCATAAAATGAGATGGTTAAGGAAATGGCAAACCACTTCAGAATCCTTGCCAAGAAAACCCCAAGTGGGGTCAGGAAGAATCAGATGCAACTGAACAACAAACAGTATTTGCTGCTGCTGGTGGAAATGTCCTTGGAACTGATCCTGATGGTTCAAAGCATATTTCTGGAAACACAGAGTGGTTATCTTAACTGACAAATTATCCAAATGAGTCAGTTTCTTAAAAGACTTCTCTCAATAATAATGAGAAAAAAATCTGAATACTAAAATCTCACTCCTCATTTTCTGATTTGGAGTATTTCATTATCCTCAAAATACTACTGATAGATTCCAAAGGCTATTTTTATTGAAGTCAAACTTAATCATAATAATAGCTAGCATTTTTAAAGTTCTTTAAGTTTGCAAAGCACTTTACATATGTTATTTCATCTGATTCTTGAAACAATCATGAGAGGTATGGCTATAATCCTCATTTTACAGACAAGGAAATGGATACAGACAGAGGTTAAGTGACTTGCCCAGGGACACATGGCTAGTGTCTGACACAGGATTGGAACTTAGGTGTTTTTGACTCCAAGTCTAACACCACTATATTACCTGGCTTTCTTGGATTTACCATGTGTTTTCTTTGGGTTTCTTTCAGCAACATACCTGCACTAGGAGAAGGTGTATCTTTCTGTGGTCATTGCCCTATGGGTTTCTTTATTTGAGTTACCACATATCCAATTATGCTGCATGTACTCATTCCAAATGAGGACGGAAATATGGAACAACTAACAACCCCTTTCAATGGTCTCAATGAAGAACATGCTAATATGACAACTGCAGATGGCGCATACCAAATAGGAACTGAATAAACTCCTCTTTATCCATTTATAACACCGCTGAATAGGAACTGAATCAAGCTCCTCATAGCCGATTACACATTGTTGCCCCAACGTATTCTTTAGGAATATCAAAATATTTAGCTGGGAGTTACATACCCTAGTCCATTAATCATAAGCAACTCTTCTTCCTTCCCCATTCTTACACTGAGGAGAGAGCGAATCTGACCCAAGGCAGCTAATAGGTTAATAGTATCTTCTACAGAAGCATGGCTAATTGTATAAGTCTTCCTCATGGCTTGCAGAAGCTCTCCAATGCTATCATACTGTCGACGGAGAAGATTGAACATTATCCGAACAAGCTCTGGGTCCTGGATTTGATCTTCTTGAGCCCAGCATACCATAGTCTGAGAGATAAGTTCCTTCAGGGTTGCTGAAAAAGCAATAAGAATTGACACAGTGATTGTGTAAGTTCAGAATAAGCTTGTCATCTGCTTCTTTCAGAGTGAATTACAACATATATCATTGGTTAGCTATGCCTACTTTCAAGCTCTATTTTACAAGTAAAATAACTGAGGCATAGAGAACTAGGGGCTTAAGGATACAGTTGAGCACCAAGGAGATTAATAATCCTTAATACAAAATATTAAATAAAATTGCTTCTAATCAATCATCAAAAATTTATTAAACATCTACTATGCACCAGGTACTATATTAGGCAAGTAGGACACAAAGATGAAATAGTCCCTGCTTTCAAGTAATTTAGATTGTATAAACATATGAGTACATGCATGTGTGTGTATGTGTGTGTGTGTGTGTGTGTGTGTGTGTGTGTGTGATTCAGGAAAGGGCTAATATAGGCAGTGGTACTTGAGTTCAGTTTTGAAAGAAGCTAGGAATTCTAAGTGGTAAAGGTAAGGTAAAAACGCATTGTTGCTTGTGCAAAGGTAATGCGATGAGATATGGAATGTTACCTGTAAAAATACTAAGAAGGTAGATGTGGATGGACTGAAAAGTGTATAAAGGGGAATAATGTGTAACATGCTTGGAATGGTAGATTGGTGCTAGACTGTGAATGTTTTTGAAAGACGGAAGTATATTGTTACATTCTAGAGGCAATGGCGAGCCATTGGAACTTACTAAGTAGGGGAGTAATATGTTCAGATTTGTGATTTAGGAATATCACTCTGGCAGTGGTGTGGAAGACAAATTGCAGGAGGGAGAGAATTAAAGTAAAGTACTCAATTAGGAGGCCATTGCAATAGTCCACGTGATGAGGTTTTGTCTTAACTAGGATGGTGTCATGGGGGAGAAAGGGTTAGAAATGAGAAATGTGGAGCTAGCAAAGGCATGTATTTATTTATTTATATTTATATATTTATAATATATCTATCCATCTGGGAGTTATCTATGTAGAGATAGTAACTGAACTAATGGGAACTGAGAAGGTCATGAAGAGAGAGTATAGAGACATTAGAGAAGTGGGTCCAAGATGAAGTCTTAGGGTATGTCCACAGTCTGGTGGAGTGGTATAGATGATAATCCAAAGGAGAGGTCAGAAAGGTAGAAGGAGAATCAAGAAAGAAGAATATTATGAAACCCTAGAGGGGAGAGATTATCTAGGAGGAAAAGGTGGTCGAAAGTGTCAAATGCTGCAGAGACATCAAGAAGGATAAGAAATGAGAAAAAGTCATTAAACTGAGCAATTAAAAGGTTATTGGTAACTTTGTAGAGGGAAGTTTTAGTTAAGTGATGAAGTTAGAAGCCATATTGCAAGGAGTCAAAGAATACAACGAAAGGAAGAAGAAATAAGGAGCAAAGAAAAATTTTTCTAGGAATGTGGCTGTGAAAAAGAGGACAGCTATAGACTGATAGATTGAAGAGGTGGTAAGCCAAGTGAGGGTTTTTTTAAGGACAGAGAATACCTGGGTAAGTTTTTAGGTATCAGGGAAGACACCTACAGATACAGAGAGTTAAAAGGGGAGTAAGAAGGAGAAATAGAGGGAGAAAGGGAGAAAATGACTGCCGGGAAAGGGAGGTGATGAAATGGAAGGGTTGGCCTGAATAAAGAGAAAGGAGGGGTCAGATCAACAGCATTTTGAGAGCAGAGAAAGGGAGAAAAAGGACCTCATGGCAAATTACCTTTACTGTCTTATTAAAGTATGAAGCAAGGTCTTCTGCTAAGGGATGGGGAATGAGTGGTGAGACTTGAAGAGATAAAATAAATTCTAGAATGTCTGCTGTTGGAAGTGCAACTGAAAATCAGTTGGGGAAGAATAAAAAGATATCTTTGCAATGGTGAGGTGCCAGTTGAAATCAGAAAACAAATGTGTTGTATTCCACTGCAAAGGTTTAATCACATTCATTCAAATAAACTTCAATACACGATGTTTTCATGGATAGGTACATACTTAGGGGCGTATTTTTTGAATGATTTAATCAGACCCTCCCTCATACAAATGACTGTGTTTTAAGGAATATTTCAGTGAGCAATTTTCACAACTAAGGGCAATAGGTTTAAGTAGTAGAGAGACAAACTACAGATGGACAAGGAATAACTTCCTAAAGTTGTGCAGAAGGGAAATGGGCTGCCTCAGGTGGTAGTGAATTTCTCATCCCTGGAGATTTTAAAGACAGAGACTAAACAACCACTTGTTGAGATTACTGTACAGGAAATTCTTAGGTCATGTTAGACTACAGATGATATCAGAAATCCTTTCCAATGCCAAGGTTCTATGCTTCCATTGATATTGCAGGTGCTCTGTTAAACCAGAACTCCAGAGACCATGCTAAGTCACTCAGCTCTGGACTCCCTGGGACCAAGTCTGCTTGCCCCAGACATTTTCTGCTCTGCTGCCTTGCTCAAACCATTCCCTCCTTGTTTATACCTCTTGCTTTGAGAGCTGTAATCAAATCAACACTACCATCACCTCTGGAAATAGTGTATTACCCTACAATTTCCATCATTATTTGATGACTTCTTAGACCAAAATATACTTCCCTGGCCATCACTTTTTTCTATATATATTGTCTTTCCCATTAAGTTGCTTGAATGCAGAGAGTTTCTTGAGACCTAGTGTTTAGAACAATGCTTGGCACATGGTAAATAATTAATAAATATTTATTCATTCATTAGTTCATTCTGAAGGATTATCAAATTCAAGAACTTTTTTCCTATATGAAGAAATACAGGATAGTCTGTCACTTTTCTAATATGCTTAAATAATTTGTCATGAGAAACTTTGGTTCTGGAGGGATATCCGATTTAAGAGCAGCTTGAAAAGGCCTATAAATCAACAAATAACTCCTTTAGCACCCAATCACAGTCCCTGAACACCCACTATTAGGATAATTTTTTCAGGTAACAGCATGTCTCTCTAGGAGTCTCCAGTTAAAATGCTAATATTTCAGATAACTAAACTATTATAAGCCTTTAATATCTTAGGGGACAAATCAACCCATCACAGCTAACTGAATGCTAAAAAGAATGGCACAATGAACATTTCAGTTTTGATTGGAGAACTAAGGTCAGATGACACAGTTCCACTAAAAGAGAAGCCAAGTGACAGGATGAGAGCACTGGGCCCTTGGAATGATGGCAGAAAGGAAGGATAAGAGATGAAAGTTATAAAGGAAAATGGAAGGAACCCCAAATCAAACATTTTCATTATTTTGCCTAAACATTCCCATGAAATAAAGAAGAGGCTGAGATTCTTAATTTAAATTTAGGGTCACAGGACACAGACTGCTAAAGGTGACTTCATCAAAGTCACACAGTGAATAGCAACAAACCTAGGAATGAGTACATATCTAGGGTATCTGTTTAATGTTCTCTATCTAATGGCCTATTTTTTTACCTACATAATATTATGTGTGGCAGATGTCTGCTCCAGATAAGTCTTAGCTCATCACAAGAACATAAAAATAGAACTCTATTAGAGTTCTGAAAGACATTTAGATGCAAAAGGATTAATTTAATCTCCTGATGTGTATATCAATATGGTAGGTGTTTTAGGGTTCAGATTAAGGACAGGAGCTGACAAACTAGCAAAAGTATAACCAAATTAAAGGAAAACAGCTAGAAAGGATTGACTTAAAAATCATACAATTACACAAACATGGTTGAATAAGAGGAAGAGGGATTACTGACTATCTGTCAAGCTTGATAATATCTGAGCTTTCTGAGAAGTTATTAAAGGACCAGATGGATTCCTGTTTAGGAGACTGTTACCAAAGAGTCAAGTATAACAAGGTTCTGCTTCAAAGCTGAAACATTAGATAAAGCAAGCTCTTTTTCAGTTCAAAAGAGCAATAATAAATGACCTATGGTCCCTTCCATAAGTGAGGAGGCTGGAAATATAAATCTTGTATTCCATAAGAATTATGTTTAGTTGCAAAGGCTGTACATTTTTCTTCTGAAGCCAATATTACAACCTAAAAGGAAAATTGCAGCTCTCAAATAAGATACCTGAATGCATGTCAGTGGTGCATTACTATAGGCCTGTACACTCAAAGGAATGGTTTAGCTAGATCATCTCAGAGTTCTCTAGCCATTGTGATAGAATGCCTAGGTAATGAAAAGATGAGTAGTAATGTAGAACCTAAGTTCACATCCCTACCCTGTTGTGTGTACATGAGAAAGTTCGTTAACTTATTTGAGCCTCAATTTCCTCATTTTCAAAATGGGGGCAATAATAGTTGTACTGCTCACAGAGGTATGAGGAAAGCATTTTACAAATTGCAAAGTGATACATAGATATGAGCCATTATTATTTCTTCACAAAGGCCATACTATAAACTTCCTTATAATATGACAACTCTGTCCTCAAAGGCTTGACTAGCAGAGAACAAGTTTTGGTAGATTCAATCAAAAGCTAAAAAAGTGTAGGGCTAGTGATGAACTGTGCTGTCAAAAAACCAACTTATATGGGGGTGGAGCCAAGATAGCAGAGTAAAATCATTGATCTGCATAAGCTCTCCCCCAAACCCATCCAAATACCCGTACAAAATGACTGTAAATAAATCCAAAAGCAGCAGAACCCACAAAAAGACAGAATGAAACAAATTTCTAGAGCAAGACAACCTGGGTTGATTAGAAAGGTCTGTTGCACCAGGCTGTGGTGCAGTGAGGGCCACCTAGGCAAAGATGGGCCCCCATGAACCTAGAGCAGGCCTCAGGGGACTGAATCACAGGCAACTGTGGTGGTTTCCAGACTTCTCAACCCACAAACGCCAAAAACAGTTTAGAAGATCAGTAGGAAAATTCTGTCAGATCTCAATGAGAAAGGAGTGTGGTCTAGCCCCAGCCCTGGCACAGACCTTGGGGTGGAGGCAGCATCAGCAGTTGCTTCCAGAGCTCTCTGTCCACAGATGGTGGGCGGAATCGAGTGGCTGATCAGAGGGAGATTGCAAGGATCTCTTGAGTGGTGCTGA